TAATAATAATAAAAAAAAAGGAAAACACCTTAAAAAAAAAAGTTGCCTGTCTCACAGCGACCCTATGAACAACAGCTCTGAACCCTGCTCTATCCTGTGCCAATTTTACTGTCTCTGACACACGTACCCCCATTACCCAGTCACTGAGTCAATCCATCTCATCAAGGATCTTCCTCTCCTGTGTTGTCCCCTCCACCCTCCGAAGCATGATGTCCCTCTCCAAAGAACAGTCCCTTCTTGCACATGTCCAAAGTATGAGATGAAACTTCAGAATCCTTGCCTCCAAGGAACAGCCAGGTCTCCCCGACTCCAGGACGAACCTGTTCTCTTAGCAGTCTATGGTATATTCAGTACTTTCCCTCCAGCGTCAAATCTCAAAGGCATCAATTCCCTAGTCATTGTTCAGCTTTCTGATGCATAGCACGTAACTGCAAAGATTATGGCCTGTATCAGGTGCACCTTAGTCTCCAGACTGATGTTGCTCTTCAGTACTCTGGAGAGGTCTCTGACAGAAGACTTTCCCAATGCAATTCATCTTTAAGAGCGTTGATTGTGGAGCCAAGCAAACTAAAGCTGTTAATAATATAGTAGGGAACAAAAGAATCCTAGTCTTCAAGGGACTTTTGAGGTCTAGAGGGAAAGATGTAATTGAACAAGAAAAAGAAAATGTTAATGAACAGTGCTGAGAGTTCAAATAGAGTAGTGAAAAAAGGTAAGATACCATGTTTGAGTCCCAAAATATCACTTAGAAGGACCAAGGAAAATGAAGGGGATATTTCAATAAACATTTGAAAACAGTGGTTTACTTAAGAGCATTTCTTATGAGGAAGCAGCAAATGCCTTGAAGTAGACCTGTGCGGGAGAAGGTAGAAGTGAAAGGGGCCAGTGTGGGGTGAAGAAGACTGAGAGGTAAGGTCAAAGAGGTCAGTTAAGTGAGGAATCGGATGGAGCTTGATCGTGGAGTTCTGTTGGCTTCTTAAGTGCTGTTGACTCAAGTACGACTCGACTCATAGCAACCGTATCAACAACAGATCTAAACAATGTCTATCTTGCGCCAGCCGTGTCAGTGTCAGTCCATCTCACTGAGGGTCTTCCTTCCCTTTGCTGACCCTCTACCTTTCAGAGCATGATGGCCTTTTCCAAGGAATAACCTCTCCTAACAACGTGCCAAGACAAAGCTTCACATCCTTGCTTGTAAGGAGCACTCGGCCACCCTTTCTCCAAGACACACCTGTTTGTTCTTTTGGCAGCTCATGGGGCACAGA